GCAAATTTAGTAAAAGGTGATGTCGCCGGTGTAATTGCAGGCGTGGTTAAAGAAATATTACAGAAGTTCCCAACAGTGGCCGGAAAGATGGACGATAACGGGTTTTCTGGTCTGCACAGGGCTTGTATTGGCGGCCATGTGGACGTAGTAAGTATCTGTTGGGTCATCATCCTCAACTGGCTCGCAAAGTCAACAACCTTTGTCATACGCCGTTGCACTTGGTTGCCATGAGCGGCAACATCCTCATTCTTCAACTATTCATGGACCTCTCTCCACTCTCATTATTGGATCCTAGGAAACAGGGAGACCCAATTCTTCATTTAGCCATTCAGTATTACAAATTCCCTACTTTTCTCCCGTTCGTTGAAAACTTCCCTACACATGAATCATTGTTCGAATTTTTTGATCTTCATGGAAATACTATTTTAGATGTTGCAGAACTGTGTGGACGACTTCAGGTCACAAAAATCCTCGCTTTCTCTACTTTCTTCACATACTAACTCATCAATACATAATAATATTACTAACTCAATGTATAGTCAAGTCTTAATTTCTAATACGATTCTAACGAGGTTTGGCTTTTTCATTAATATGTTGCAGTTTGTAGGATTCTTGATCAATAAGATGAGAATGTGGATAAATTGTCAGAACAGGGAAGGGCTGACAACCCTTGATATGCTCGACAACGTTGCCGTTAATGAAACTGAGGTGTTCCAAATTGTTGAGGATATGTTAAAAACTGCCGGCGGAAAAAGAAGAATAGAACTGAAGGATTCGACCGTTATTATTCCAAGTAGCGAGAAAGGGGAATGGATATAGGAATGGATTAATTCTTTGGATCTAAATTTTTTGGAGGAGGATCGTTTGGAGAAGATCATTGACTTCGATCATGATAAGAAGGAAAAAGAGGAGACAATTTATTCTTTGGATCCAAATTTGTTGGAGGAGGATCGTTTACAGAAGATCATCGACTTTGATCATGATAAGAAGGAAGAAGAAAAGACGATTCATTCTTTGCATCCAAATTTGTTTGAGGAGGATTGTTTGCAAAAGATCATCGACTTAGATCATGATAATAAGAAAGAAGAAAAGACGATTCATTCTTTGGATCCAAATTTGTTGGAGAAGGATCATTTGCAAGAAGTCAGTGACTTAGACCTTGATAAGAAGGAAGAAGAAAAGATTGACGCTGAAAATTTGAGGAGCAATAGTGTTATCCATGCTAACTATGAATAAGCTTTTTCTTTTTCTTTTTGGTGGTACCGATGAACAAGTAAGAAGAGAACAAAGGTGGGTTTTTGGTTCCGAGAGGCAAAAGGTCTCAGCCAAAAGCGGCAGAAAGTGCTGATAAGCAAAATGGAGCACGAGAACCGTTCTCGACGGGAAAAGCTACACAATATGAATAAGGAGGCACTGCAAAATGCGGGAAACACGGTTATTTTAGTTGCAGGTTTGATTGCTACAATTATATTTCCTGTGGGCATAAGCCCCCGGTGGAGTTCACCAAAACGGCTCATTGATTGGAAAAGAAGTATTCGTCAAAACAAAGGTTACAAGGTATTCATAATAAGCAACAACATTGCAATGATCACATATCTATGCATCATGATTGTTTTAGTGAGGAAGAAAATGACTGCTACGACTTCTTAAGATTACTTATAAATTGTTGCGGGGGTCTCTAGTGTTCATAGCGATGACTTTCATGTTGGCCACATGGCTCACCTTGTCGCAGGATTACGAACAAATTGGCTTCCAAATGTGATATTGGCAATGGTGGGAGGGACTATGGGAATACTTTTCATTTATTTGGGAGTAGAGTTGGTAAAGCATTGGATGAGAAAGGTAAGGAGAGAGTCGAGAAGCCAATAGTTCCGATCCACGGTAATTTTGATGGCAACTCCGACCATCAATCTACGGATGATCTATCGTCTAGTAAAGTTAAGTCAGACATAGAACGACGTAATCTAAAACAGCTCTATTGAATCTCTACTAATTCCAATGTTGCCGGCTCGAGAAGTCGAGTTGGTCATGCATATTAAAGACTTGTTTGTGGGTAATTTTATGTGGAGTGATTTAATTAAAAATAGTTTTGTAAAATTTTTATTAAAAAAGATATTTTACTATTTGTTTCTACTCTCTTTAAGAAGGTAATTTGAATGAATAATATTTGATTTTTTTAAGAGGAATTATTGGAAGGAGGCAACCATAGTGTGGGTGGTAATCTTACGTGGGATGTTTGAGAGAAAAACTACAAAAGTAGTGTGAATCTATATCCAACATAATTATTTTAGGTGCAAGAATCTACGTCAAACATCGGGCAATCATATATATATTTGTAGTTGCCTCGTTCAATAATTTTTCTCTTAGGTGTACGTTTATTAGTTTTAGATTTCGACATTGGTTTGGTGTCAAAACTAACGCTAACTGACTGCTAGTCACTCTAGTAGTATCAAAGTTATGTTCCGACTTGGTTAACGATGCCTATCATCTATAGAGGTCAAAAGCTCTTGGAATTGAAGCTTTTGTGAAGAATATTATTAAAGTTTTCTATTGCTAAGTTAAGAATAAAGGACTATCTTAATGCCTTCTCAAAAGCTATAAAATTTTCAACTTCAAAGACTCAAGTGTTGGCATAAAAGTCAACATCAACTCAACATGGTTAATATAATTTAATTTAAAAAATAAAAGAAAAACCAAACACAGAAAGCAGACAGAAATTTCAAAAGCAAACACAGAAAGCAGACAGAAATTTCTGGGCATTTTCTTTAGTCAAATTTATTAAATGTTGAGTTTAGGTTAAAAACATATTTTAGTCATCAGGTATGCTCTCTCTCTCTCTCTTTTTTTTTCTCTCTTTTCTTACATTCCCAATTTGATCCCGTAATCTTTTTTTTTTTCTTTTAAACAAAGACCTAGCGAAGAAAGCTAACAGAAATTTCAGGGCCTTTTCACGAGGGGAAGACTGAACTTGAGAGGGAGAGATCCTAAAGTTTTCTAAAAATCTAAAAATCATATATGGGATATGGCCTAAAATTTGGTTGTTTCTAATTTTTTATTTGATTTATTAAAAATGTATAAATATAGATAACTTGGTAATTTTGCAAAATCCTCTATTTTAGTGTATCGGTAAATTATTAAGATTTAAGCAATTTATGTTATAATCAATTGTAAAAGGTCACTTGGGCTACATATTGATCCAATAGGCAAATAGAATGAAGAACTCACAAAAATCTCCTTCATCCCTAAAATTGTTTCTACCACCATATTAGCCTCTCCTAAAACCTCCATATCCAAACAAAAGCTAGATAGCATCAAGGCAATCTGATTCCAAAATCACCATTCCAAGTCTAGACCTTTGAACAAGGCGAAGCGTGGCTCTAATGGCTAGCCATTCAGCATGCAAAGGTTGGTAACCAATCTCAACAAATCTCACCATGGCATATAGAAAATTTCGGCTTCCATCTTGGATGGGGAATCGCCTTATGGTATTGTTGTTGGGTTTGTAAAGAGAATGCAAAATAAAGTTACATATTGGTTAGGCAAGAGAATGATCCAATATAGATTAGAACAATCATCTTCATTGGTATGAGACCTTTTGGGTGAAACCAAGAGTAAAGCCGTGAGGTTATGTCAATAGCGAACAATATTATACCATTGTGCAGAAAAAAAAAACTAAAAAAATGTTAAATTTTGGTATGTGTATTTTCAGCTTTGGTTCATTTTAGTCCCTCTAATTCCAAAATGTTCCATTTTTGGTTATTGTATTTTCAATTTGGTTCATTTTAGTTTCTATATTTTCAAAATGTTTGTTTCGGTTCCAATAAGTTTAAAAAGTGACCATTTTGGTCCCTTAATTTATTTTTAATCTAATTTTTTCTATCACAATTTCAACGCGACACTAGACTCGATATATTTATTGAAACATAACCATGACTTCATATGAAATAGTTTCTGTTATGTGTAGAATTTGTGTCAAATTTTAAAAAATAGGGACAAAAACTAGTTACTGATGTAAAATCACGATGTTTTGAAAATAGTATATTTCTATGATCTTTTTTTTTCTCGAATGTGAATCCAGCAAATCCAGAGGAAGAACAAGGAGAACACAACAGTGAAGGAGAAGGATCCAATATGACATTTGATCCCTATAGTTGAGAAGTGGTCGAGCCTGTTGTAGGGATTGATCTTTTTGTTGATTCTTAAAATAAAAACTCTGGAATGGAAATGGGAAAGAGATTAACTCCAGTACCTTCGAAAATGGTAAAATCTTTGGCATAAGAAGAAGGGGTTGATCCGTATCATCTTGACTGAATTCTGATTTCTCTATTTTTTTAATAATACTGAATTGGGTTCTGTTTCTACCCTTATCGAATAGAACATGCTGAGCCAAATCTTCTTCATGTAAAACCTGTTTTATTTAGATGGGGAAAATCGTATGGTTTTATGAAACCTTGTGCTATGGCTCGAATGTGTAGTCAATCGATAGGAGCAGTTGACAATTGAATCCAATTTTTCCCATTATTTTTATTTTCGTATCCGTAATAATAGTGCGAAAAGAAGGAAGGCCCAATCCCAAGTTGTTCAAAAATAGTGACATTGAGTTTCTCGACTCTTTGCCTTAGGATTAGTCAGTTCTATTTCTCAATGAGGGCAAGAGAACGGATATAACTCAGCGGTGAAGTATCGCCTTGACATGGCGGAAGTCATCAATTCAAATCTGATCATCGCTAAACCTTATGTTAGTGGGACCAAAACAAATATTTTGAAAGTATAGACACTAAAATGAAACAATCAAAATCCAAGATTTCTTTTCACCTGCGGGGTGACTCAAATGAACCAAAAGGAAAAAAATAGAAAATTGGAAAAAATGAACTAGCATTATAGCTATTTTTTTCAGCCATCGTAGTTTGACTGGTAAGACGCGTATAGTGATGGGTGGAATATAATAATAATAAAAGCCTAGCAAGTGTGATTCATCCCCACTTTTTGTTTAAGTTCAGAGTTGAAAGAAACAAAAAGAAAAGAAAAGGAAAGAATGGATCCAAGGCTTTTCCAGGCAGTGACATGGAACGACAGAAAGCGGTTCATGAATCTGGTGGACGAGAATGGGGAAATTCTGAAGGAGATATCAGAAGAGACCGGGGACACGGTGCTGCACTTGGCGGCGAGGCACGGCCGCGTCGACTTCGTGAAGGACATTCTGAGGCTGTGGCCGGAAGCTGCGGCGGTGGAGAATCTGAAGAATGAGACGCCATTCCAAGAAGCTTGTAGGGAAGGATCAGAACCCGAAATCTTAATGCTGCTTCTGGAGATGGAGCCATGGGTCAGATCTGAACTCAGCCATCAAAAACAGAGCCTGCTGTTGGTGGCCTGCAGCCGTGGTCAAGTGGATGCTGTCAAGATCCTTTTGAAACACCCATGGCTCCACAATTTAGACGACCACGCAGCTTGTTTTCTTGAGGCTGCCTCTCGGGGATACTTGGGTAATTTCTAATTTTAGTAATGTCTGGACTGGTTTAATTTGTGTTCAATCGATTAAAAACTTTTAATTTTGTGTCTAGTAATATAGGCAAGAATCTGATAATTTTGAAAGAAAACCAGCTCAATTCTGCTTAAGAAGGTTGCAAGATAAAACACAATAATGGGGTAAGAGCACTAATTGCTCAATGGCTAGTTCTCAAATCATAATTTGATTGAGGCCTTTAATACGGAGTAGAAACTAAATGTCAACAGCAAGGATTTTGTGTTCTGCTGCAGGATCTGCTACAGACTGTCAAAGAGACATAAATTTCAGCTAAATTCCAGCAATAATCTGCTCCTTTCTTGTGCTCTATTTGAAATTTTTATTGATTTATTTATGCTAAATTGTATTCTAACAAAGAGTTTCAGCTGAGCTCTCCGTCGATAAAGAATTAATTATCGTGTCATACAAAAATTTGTCACGTTAACTTTGCGTCCAAAATATTATGTTCGCTGAAATGGTATCTTTCATACAAGGATTTGTGAAAGGTAGGAGGTAGTATTCAAACTAATTTTGAAAGAATAAGGGTATTTTGTGAATCTAATGAAAAGCATTTAAGGGTGTTTATTTTCAAATGTTGTAATTTGTTTCTAAATGTTGGAATGAAAACATGGGCATCTGTGTGTTCTTACTTTTTAGTCTCTTTTGTTGTAAAAGTGTAGTGCAGCAAATTTAGTGAAAGATGATGGTTGGTTGGGTGCAGGCGTGGTTAAAGAAATATTAGGGAAGTTCCCAAAAGTGGCTGAAAAGGTGGACGATATTGGTGGCCATGGCTTGCACAAGGCTTGTATTGGTGGCCATGTGGACGTAGTGAGGTATCTGTTGGGTCATCATCCTCAACTTGCTCGCCAATTCACCAACTTTGGCCATACGCCGTTGCACTTGGTTGCCATGCGCGGCAACATCCCCATTCTTCAACTATTTATGGACCAATCTCCACTCTCCTTATTGGATCTTACAAAACAGGGAGACCCAATTCTTCATCTCACCATTCGGTATAACCAATTCCCTACTTTTCTACACTTGGCTGAAACCTTCCAAACACATGAATCATTCTTCAGTTCTGTGGACCTTCATGGGAATACTCTTTTACATGTTGCAGCACTGTGTGGACGACTTCAGGTAAAACAAAAATCCTCACTTTCTCTACTTTATTCACATACTAACTCATCAATACATAATTACAAGTCTAATTTCTAATATGTTTCTGTCGTGGTTTGCCTTTTGAATAATATGTTGCAGTTTGTAGAATTCTTGATCAATAAAATGAAGACGTGGATAAATTGTCAGAACAGAGAAGGGCTGACAGCTTTTGACATGCTCGACAACCTTACCGTTAATGACACTCGGGAGTTTCAAATTCTTGAGGACATGTTAAAAAATGCCGGCGGAAAGAGAAAAATAGAATTAACAGATTCGACTGTTATTATTCCAACTAGCGAGAAAGGGGAATGGATTCAGGAATGGATTCATTCTTTGGATCTAAATTTGTTGGAGGATGGTTTGCAAAAGACCATTGACTTAGATCATGATAAGAAGGAAGAAGAAAAGATGATTCATTCTTTGGATCCCAAATTGTTGGAGGAGGATGGTTTGCAAAAGACCATTGACTTAGACCATGATAAGGAGGAAGAAGAAAAGATTGACATTGAAAATTTGGGGAGCAATCATGTTATCCATGCTAACCATGAACAAGTTTCTTCTTTTTCTATTGGTACCGATGAACAGGTAGATCAAAAAGAGAACAAAGGTGGGTTTGTGGTTCTACACAACATGGAGAGGCAAAAGCATCTCAGCCAAAAGCGGCGGAAAGTTCTAATAAGAAAAATGGATGAGAACCGATCTCGGCGAGAAAAGCAACATGATATGTATAAAGAGGCTTTGCAAAATGCAAGAAACACAGTTACTTTAGTTGCAGCTTTGATTGCTACAATTACGTTTTCTGTGGGCATAAGTCCCCCGGGTGGGGTTCACCAAGACGGCCCACTAATTGGAAAAGCAGTATTCGCCAAAACAAAAGGCTACAAGATATTCATAATAAGCAACAGCATCGCAATGACTACATCTCTATGCATCATGATCGTTTTAGTGAGCATCATCCCTTTCAGAAGAAAATTACTCTTGCGACTTATTAAGATTACTCATAAAGTGTTGTGGGTGTCTCTAGCGTTTATGGCAACGGCTTTCACATCAGCCACATGGCTCATCTTGCCGCAAGATTACAAAACAAATTGGATTCCAAATGTGATATTGGCAGTGGTAGGAGGGACTATGGGAACACTTTTCATTTTTTTGGGAGTAGAGTTGGTAAGACATTGGATGAGAAAGCTCAAGTGGAGAAGGGAGAGAGTCGAGAAGCCAATTGTTCCAGTGGGCGGTAATTCTGACGGCAATTCCGACCATCAATCCACGGATGATCTATCATCCAGTAAAGCTAAGTCCGTCATAGAACGACAGGATCTAAGAAAGCTTTATTCATTCTCTACTAATTCTGATGTTGCCAGTTCTAGAGGTCGAGGTGGTCATGTTTACTAAAGACATGTTTTGTGAGTGATTTTAGTCGGAGCCAGTTTTGTAAAATATTTATTAAAAAGTTATTTTACTCTTTTGTGTCTGCTTTCATGGAAAAGTAATTTGAATGATTAATATTTGATTCGAGAAACGATTTAAGAATAATCAAACTACTCAAAATTATCTCAACTTCTCTTCAGCAATCATATGGTTTCACAAAAAATTATCTCCCAAAATGATAGATAGAATCACTTTGACTTGTATGTTATAAAACTAAACTCTTAGTTTTGTGTCTAGTAATCTATAAGACACTTGTAATTTAACTAATATTTGTTGAATAAAACCCTCCAAATTTAATCAATCATATACTTTCTTACAAGGGGATTGAGAAAAACTTACCTCATGCTGCCAAGACAGGTGCTAAAGTTTCACTTCTTAATTTTTTATTAACACACAACAAAAATAGTTGAAACTTTGGAAAAGTTGTTCTCCTGATCCCCGCCGGGCTAAAATTTATCTTCCATCCACGGAGAGCCAACCCCTCCCCTTCTTCTTCCTTCTGCTGAAACTCTTCAACATCTTCGACAGTAAGTAGAAATAAAGTCTCACATTAGTTAGAAAAATTCATTATCTATAAGAAAATTGACCCTTCGACACAAAAAGTTAATTGATTTTAAAAAATGACCTAACATTTGAAAACATGTTTTTCTATAAACTTCTTCTGGACATATCAGCAAAGGTAAAAGTACAAAGCCTTGATTTGATGAAAAAATTTGTAGTCTAAAGCAGAAAAATTTGTCTTAAAGTCGGTATACTCGTCTGAGTTTTACAAAATTCACCCAAAACAATTGATTCAAGGGCAAGTTTTCTTACCTTGGGGATCTCGATGAGATCGGTTTGGTGTTGTGTACGTGTTTGTTTCTCATTATACTCCCGAGCTCGAATCCTTCTGTATGATATTTAGGATTTTTTTTTCTTTTTAAAAATAGAATAATTATATGAAAAAGCGCGTAAAAATTAGAATTTTCACTAATCGACTGGATTCAATATTGGGTGGGAAGGGAGGCAAGAAATGCAGAAACCACCAACCCGAGAGAATATTATGCAGCATATTAACTAGTAATAACAAACTTAAGGAGAAATCCCTGGAGGAACATCATACCACCACATAATTTCTCGGGGACATGTCCATTTTAGATCCTTCCTGGGAAATAAGGTACAGAGGCCTTGTCCCAGTTTCGACCTCTCATTTTTGGCTTCTTTTTTATTTCGCGGGCAAATTCATGCCTGAGTTATAAGTAGAGGCCAAAACTCAGCAAAAATTCATGAGTTTGGCCTCTATTTTATCCCAATGTTTTATTTCTCAGATAAAACTCGTCTGAGTTGTTGGGATTGAAGCCAAATCGACGTGGGAACGAGTCGAGGTGGGTTAGGACAAAGAAGGAAAGAAAAATAGTTGAAGAAGCGGGCTGCAGGGAATGGGGCCGAGGAGGCAGCATCACGACACGTTTGTGATTGGGCATGTGGACGAAAGTTTCGTCCGTAGACCATGGCACTATATCGACTTTATAAATACTACAGTCTTACGATTTTAGGGTTCTTGAGCTGTGGGGTTTAATTCTTCAGCGTACTTTGAGGGTTTTGTGGTAGATTTGAGGCGGCGGCTCGGGGTATTGGCAACAGCATTGGGGTAGATCAAGATCGTCATACATTTGGGGTAATTAGATCTTGATTCTTGTGAGTTTTTCATTCATGTACCTAAGTATAATGTGTTATAATACTTAGAAGCTAGAAGGCTTTTGTTGTGACCTCTAGAGGGTGAATATCTGGTGGAGATATTTTGGGTGGTTTGTATCCAATCTCTAATTATAGTAAAACCCGCATCTGAGCGGAAGAGTATTGGATGTAGCCTATAAACTGTTTATGTGAACCTGTATAAATTCTTTGTGTCATTTTTTGGTTTCCCTTAATCTCTTTATTTATGTTGTGTGATTGACTTTGTTTGCTCGATAACTGTGGGAGAGGAAATTATTTTAAGTGCTTAATTTTCCAACACGAGTTTCCTCAAGGAACCAGAGTTTTGACTTCTATTTTTTGCCACTCGTTTGTAATATATATATTCTTCGTTATATCTGTAAACAAAATTCTCCTAGCTTGGTGGCTTTAGATTGTATGAATTACAACTGAGATTTATGGTTATTTAATTTCAACCAACCCAAATAAAAAAAAACTCGGATCGAGATTCATATGCTCATTTAATTTCAACGAACTCAAATTTTAAAAAAATATATCTAAAGGTCGAGATTGGATGAATCCAAGCAGAGATTTATGCCCATTTGGATTTCAATGAAGCTGGAGAATGTGAGGATGTCCAGAAAATGAAAAATAAGAATTGAATGATAAGAATTGAATGACACGGGCAAAAAGAGGGGCAGATGAGACTTAGTGGGAGGTAAGGAAAAACATGCTAAAGCTAACCCCAAAAGAAATTTCTGTTCAGGTAGGGAGAAAGAGGTAAGTGGTGAACCTAAAAAAAATGTAATAATTTAAGGGACCTTTATGTTTTGAACGGTAATATTTTCAAATTAGAACCACTAAGCTAATTGTACTCTTATGTTTCAGGTGAAAAGAAAAGGTTTAAGGTAGTAGAGGGAGAACCTGCTATTAGTGAGGGGTAATTAGTATGTTTCATTATCATTGGGTGTATATATGTATTGACATTCTAATTATGACAATTGATTTGTCTATACATATATCGACCTTTTAATTTTGATAATTCTTCAATTACTATATACATATATTGATTTTCTAATTTTGATAATTGAGTTGCATATATACCTGTGTATTGACCTTCAATTGGTAAATACGTGTACTGAACTTCTAAATTTTACATACTGACTGTCAAGATCAAAATACTTTAATACATGCATTGTGTAGTTTATGATTAACTACTAACAAACTTAGATTTCAAAATCGCCCCATGTATCACCCTATTTTTCACTAAATTGTTGTACACATTTAAAATACATGGCTAAAGTTAGAAAATCACCATATTTTTCAAAACTCCGAAAATATTATTAAGCCATTTTTGCAAAATTAGGAACTAGGATCATTTTTTAAAATGGGTACCAAATTTTAGCCTCCCACCTAAACTATCCTAAATAAACTTGACTTATCCACCCGAAAGGAGAAGTCCAACCCGCCTCTATAGCCAAGCTGAGACCAACCTAGCTGGAGAATTTTCTAATTATTCTCCTCTCCTGACATGAGGATACGGACTTTAGATCCGATAGTTCGTAACCGCCTAAACTTCCTGTCGGAACGACCCTAACAGACTTGTCCCATCACTCGCCTATAAAAAGATCAACCAGTTCTTGGACTCAAGTATCCAATTTTGTTTGCAAGGCCAATTAATCAATCGAACTCGCGTCATTACTCGCATGAGCATAAAGTGTTTGTTCTCTTTGTCCAGGTCCTTCTTTGCAAAGCTAGAGCTTCTCGTTTGTTCGTCCAAGTTGACACGTGGGCAATCTCTATAGCTCGGCAGAATCCTCACAAGTTTGGTTACTTTTTCCCCAATTGATCGCTAATCCATTTTCAAAGTTTCAGTTTCATTTCTCATGAATTGGAATTGTCTCAATTAAGTTGTTTCCATCACTAAATTGTTAAGCTCATTATTAAATGACGCCTAACTTATAGTGAGAGAGAGGAACACAAACATGGAGAAAGAAAGTACTATTGTAAGCAATTTAGGAGACCCTCCTCCTCCTTGTGCTTGTTCTTCTCATATCGTTGAAATTGAAATTAAAATAATAATAATAATAGATTGGAAAACTTGAACCAGCAGCATTATTGTAATTATTTATTCCGCCCTCGTAGTTTGACTTCTAAGACGCGTAATAATAAAAGCCCAGCAAGTATAATATAAATTAGTTTTAAGCTCAAAGTTCTGAAGAATTCGCCAGAATAGGAAAATAGAAAGGAAAGAACATGGATCCAAGGCTTTTCCAGGCAGTGAGATGGAACTACGAAAGGAGTTTCATGAATCTGGTGGGCGAGAATCTTGAAATTGTGACGCAGAGATCAAAAGAGACGGGCGACACGGTGCTCTGCACTTGACAGTCAGGTACGTATGAATATTCACGGGGTTCCATTTCAAAACCAATTGGCAAACGAATAGCCCATATCTATTATAAACCTAGGTCCCATCTCTTTTCAATGTGAGATCCCCTTCAAGATCGTGGCTATGCTCGTTTGAGTGTTTTGGGCTCTGATATCATATTAAAATTCATGGATTGCATCTCAAAACCAATTAGCAATGAGAGGAGTAGCCTATGTCTATTATAAACCATTGTTAGGTCTCATCTCTTTTCAATGTGGGATCATTAACAGTACGGCCACGTCAACTTGGTGGAGGAGATCTTGAGGGTGTGGCCGGAAGCTGCACCGGTGGAGAATCTGAAGGAGGAGACCCATATTTGAGCCTAATTTCTCATTCTTTTTCATGGATTGAACACATTTATTAATCTTGAGGCATGTTTCAAATATTATCCTCCATTTTTTTTTTACCAATGTCAAGATAAGGAGCAAAAGTTGCATGATCTAACTTGTTTCGGTTCAAGCCAAATTTGTAAGCTAAAAAAGAAAAAGAAAAGAAAAAAAAAAGAAAAGAAGTTTGGTTATTGAAAAGAAAATGTGAAAAAAAAGTGTATATGAGGGTATATTCTTCTTTGTTGAGTGTTGTAGAGAAATCATTTGGAGAAATATCTTTCAAGCAACAATAGATTCTTGTATTTCTCAAGGAGTATTAGTGTTTGATGGTGCATTGTATTCATTGTTCATTGGCTTCAGTACGTTATGTAGTTAGCATGCAACCTAATATCTCCTTTGTCTTGATTTTGAGCCTCTTAAATTCTTTTTATCTCACCCTTACCTAAGCCCCATTACAACCATTATTAAAATCCCTTTGATTTTTACATTCAATTCATCTTTAAGTGGGGAGATTTGATTCATTTGCAAGCCTATGGTACTAATATGCTTTGTTTTGATTTTGAGAGTAAAAACACCCCAAAAACACTTTGAGAGATTTGAGTGAAAATCCGTGAGGGTGTTAAGTCTTTTGCATTTGATTTCAA